CATCTGCCCTTAAGAAAATGATCCTTTCCCCAGTCTCCACACATGGCCCGTGACACCATCCTTAGCCAGGTGCCCTTCCACTACCATGTGGAAGCCAGCACTGAGTCCCTCCCCGCCCTTCTCCTCCCACTGCCACCTTGTCTACAGCAGCTGTACCTGGCACCTCCCCCACTCCATCACATTCATCACCCTGCTTCCGCCCTTACCCCTTCTAACCCACTCCCTAGAAAGAAGCCCAAATGATCTTAGAAATAGTAAATCAGAATCACTTTCCTCCTCTACTCAAAATTTGTCACTCCCTTTCCCTTCCCTGGAATAAAACCCGAGCTCCTCCCCTTGGCTTTTGTGTCCCGCACAGCGTGGTCCCGCCAACCCCTCACCCCCAAGCTAAACTCAAGTGACACTGGCCCTCCTTCAGCAAATCAGACACACCAAGTTCCTCTCTGCCTCAGGACTTCTGCACACACCATACCCTGTGCAACTAACATTCGCCCACTCCTACCCAGAGAGCTAGAGAAACAGAGACAGGGAGGGCTTCACTCCTCTCTTTGCTGGCTCTGTCACTTGCTCTAGGTCCCAGCTGATAAGTCCACATCCTCAGCAAGACCCCCTTCTATAGCAGGTCGTCCAAGTACTCTCCTGGCATGCTTGGTTTTGTTAAGTAGTTACCCGCCCCCCATTGTAAATCCAACAGCTGGCCTCCTAATCAGTCATCGTGTCTTGTCCTAGAGTCCAGGTGTCATTCCAGATTGCCGTCCCCTGCCTCCCGAACTCACCCACATCTCATCAATGGTCGCACCAAACCGTTCTGGTCGACTGGGTACCTCTAGCGGCCCCTGGGCTCCCCCAGGGCAGAAACTGTATTCCTCTCCCCCATCACTGTATCATCAGCACTGAGCGCAGTGCCGGGCACACAGTAGGTCCTCAACAAAATGTCTGCCGTGTCTACCAAGTGAAGGAGTCGGAAGATATGAAAGCACTTAAGGTTTGGAGCAAACTTTCCTCCAAGGCGAAGGGACATTCAAAAACAAAACAAAACCAGATAAAGTGGCCCACATTTAAGGTTTTAAATTTTATATGTAATGAAAGAAGGAAGTGATCTTGTACTCATTTTATTTTTATCTAAAGAGGAGTATAAAACCACTAGGCATGTAAAAACAATGAAGTTTTATAGTGTGATAAATAAAAAAGAAAAGGGTGGGGACCAATCATTGAGGGGGGGAAGGAGCCGTGGTAGAGTACAGAAATAGAAACAGATGTAGAGATAGAGACAGATCAAGAGAGAAACCGACAGAGGCATCTAGGCAAGGTACAAAACAGGGCTTCGCTGCTCTTCTGGGAACCAAAGGGCAACCCTCCAGATTTCGAAAGGGGTTTTAAGTCCCCTCTTCACTTCATTTTTCAAAGAAGTTTTCTAAAAACTGACTTACTGTGCTAAAAATCAGTGGTTAGCACATTGCATTTTGAAGAGAACATAATCTATTCAAATGATTTTTTTTTTAATAGTTCACTTTGTATCTTTAGAGAATGTGGCTACAAACTTTTCAGTGAGGCACTGGGTTTTCAAAGTTACAAGCACGAAGAGGGAGGGATCCTTGGGGGCTGTCAGAAGGAGGGGCATGAGCGTCAAGCACAGTTCAGTACATCCCACCCATTCCCTTCTCTGGAACTTTCCAAGGCCCAGGCCCTAGATGAAAGGGGGAGCAGAGCCTAGCACTGCACATGGTCTGACTTCTCTGGCTACACCAACTGGACCAGAAGGTCTTCCCAACCAGGGCCAGTTACGGTCTCCCCGAGAAATCACAATTTTGGCCCCAATGAGCCGGTGCGGGGACAGCACATGAAATTGATAGGCAAGAGGTGTGGGCAATTTTCTACCAGGCTTTCTGAGGCTGGTAAGAGTGTGGAGTTAGGGAGAGATGGTCTGCAGAGGGACGTGAAAAATCAGGAACATCGTGTAGCGGGTAGAACCAGCCCCAGGGGGCCAAACCCCAGGCCCACTTGACAGCTAGGACACTGAACAAGTGCCTTGACATCTCTTTGACCTAACTGTAACCTGCTTCCTAGGGACCCTTTGGGGATTGAATAAATGAACACGTACAGCACTCAGAAGAGGGTCTGGCACACAGCAAAGCATGCTGAATGTCAACAACTACGGTTTCCATTTTGCTCAACTGTAAGCCCATGAGGCTGAGGCTTTCTCACTGGTTTGCTCATAACATATCCCAGAGTCTAGAACCGTGCCTGCAACACAGCAGCGCTCAGCCCACCTTTGATGAGTGATCAGAGAATGGAGATACCACACAGCCCTAAGGACAGAGACCATGGACAGAGCCTGCTAACTCTCTCCTCATCTCAGCTCCTACTTCAGTGAAACAATCAGAGCCGGGTCTTATCAAAGCCTAAATCAGATCATGTTTCTTTCCTGCTTCTCACAACTCAGGATGAAGCCAAACTCTCCATCCCCCCTTGGCTACCCAGGCCCCGCCGGCTCTGGCCCCTGCCTACCTCTCTCCCCCTCCCTCTGGCTTCCTGCTCCAGTTACACTGGCCTCCTTCATTCCTCCAGTGTGGTTCCCTCTGTTTTCTTCTACCTCTGGGCCCTTGCACGAGCTGTTCCCCTGATGCATCCCCGGCCCCAGTCTCCTTCTCACAGAAATCTTAGCCAATGTTCTTCCCTTGTTTTCCTTGGCTCCTCCATTCTACACACTCAGAGCCTCATGTTCTTTTCCTTCACGCTACCTGCCACCATTCGGACTTTTATCATTTATGACTCTTTAGTCAATGACACTCTCCCCCCTAGACCATGAGCTCCATGAAGAAACAGACCATAACTTCTTTTTTATTCTTCGTTGTATTTTAATATCAAGCACAGTGTTTGGTGGAAAGAAGGCACTCGACAAACACCGGTAGAATGAATCCACTTGTTGAATGAGTTGACAGAACTAAGTAGTACATTTTGGGCCATTCTCCCATCCAAGTACTAACCAGGCCCGACCCTGCTTAGCATTTTGGGCCATTCTCAAGTCCAGCTTCTTCCCAAGTCTCCTGGCCTGGTTTTGCAATAGTAGCCTCCTCAGACAAGCCCCGAATCCCCCTTCTAATCTACCTTAAGTGAGTTTCTCTATTGCTACTAAACGCTTTGACTCCAACCCACAGACTAACGCCACCCTCTGAGCTGGAAGTCCCCATCCTAGAACTGATAATCCTAGATCAGTAATGATATAAAGACTTCCTTTCCCAAAAAACGCAATTTTCATGCATGACAAAGTAAACAGTATCAGACCAGCCCTCCCGCTGTCAACAACCAGTAAGTCAGGACAAACACACGTAAGTCAACTTCTGTCAGGCGTTAGACAGCGGGCAGCACATGACTGTGGCCACTGAGGAAAAGGAAACACAGGCGGTGAGCCCATGTTCACTCCAGCTCGCCACCCGAGGACAGCTTCCATACCACCGGTGTGGACTCACCCCCCCGTCACCAAGCATCCAAAAAGGTTGTGCCTTAGAAATAAGGGCACGCCTTCAAGAAAGGCTTCCCGAGAGCAGCCCTGACGGAGTCTAAAACCAAGTGTCACACAAGATCACGGTGATCAGCCCGTTACTGAGCTGCCTTCCGCAGAAGATAACAAAATCCAGCCTCGATAATGTCCAGTACACGTGCCGTCCTCTCAACCTCAGGAGATAATCGATAATTACGAGGCATGCAAAGAAAGAAGAAAATGCAGCTCGTGGTCAAGGAAAAGAATCAAGGAAGAGACACAAATACCAAAATAGCTATGATGGTGGCTCTAGCAAAAGCAAACTGGTCAGGATTTGTAAGTTCCTAATATTTTTGTAGAAGTCCTTAACCAGGTGCATACACCGAAAGCCCCTGTGGAGCTTTTTTGGTTTTGGTTTTTTGTTTCAGGGGATGCTAAGGAATCTGCATTGTTAAGCTCTCTAGGGGGTTCTAACGCGTCATAGAATTCTTATCATAGAATACATCCGCTTTAAGGCAGATACAAGTAAGAGGTAAATTGATAGGTCCTGAAGGTTCTGCTTGCTCGAGCGGGTTGGTGAGCACCAATCAGCAGTCTCGGTTGAACAGATTACACAATTACGAAAGATCATTTCAGCTTAAATTATTTTGTAGAAAAATGCACACGTCTCTACTTATTTTGAAAAAAAAAAAAAAAAAAAGCCTGAGGTTAAATCAAAAGCCACAGACAGAAAAGATAATGATTAAGAAAAAATAGGAGGAAATGCTCATGGTATAATTTAAAAAAATATCAGAGTGCCAACTACTGTAACATCAAGCATACAAACGTACATTAATAGACATTGCCGGGACACCTGGGTAGCTCAGTCGAGCATATGCCTTCGGCTCAGGTCACTATCCCAGGGTCCTGGGATTTGGCCCCACAGTGGGCTCCCTGCTCAGCACGGAGCCTGCTTCTCCCTTGCGTGCTCTGCCTGCCACTCCCCTGCTTGTGCTGTCTCTCTCTGACAAATAAATAAAATCTTTAAAAATATTTATATAAACATTGCCATGTTTGTGACTAGAACAAAAGGCAATAAGAAATATACAAAATGCTAAGAATAGTTATTTTATGTGTAATTTTAATTTTCTCCTAGTTTTCTATATTTTTACAAGAGTGTATGGAATTTCCTCCGTGGACATGCATCTGAAATTTAACCACAAAATAATGGCTTCAGAAACCTTCTGCCAATACACAAACCTCTGCAAAATCTAGCAATTTTTCCCTCAGAAAGAAAAGGGAAGAAGTAGCTTGAGCTATTTCCTTCCTTATCCAGCTCAAGAAGACTTTCTTCTCTGTCCTCTGAGTAACTGGACCAGCCTTGGACACTAATTCCACCTCGAATGTTCTCATCCGTCAGACAAGTAGGAGGCTGAGACACATGCCACAACCCAACAAGCAAGAGGCAGTGGCTGAGCAAAAGTAGCCCACCTACTGGTAAATGAAGGACACAAAAAAGGAAAAGAATTCAAGTCCATACCTGAACAACCGGGTGGCCACCAGTTGGAGCTTTGACAGCCCCTCGGCTGCCTTCGGTCTCATAGTGGGCACGGTGATGTGGCTTGGGCTGCACCTCTATCCGCAGCTCATAGGAGCCCGACTGGTGGGAGAGCGGCCACTCAAGCGGAGGGAGAGATGCAGTCACTGGGATGCTGAAGAAGGAAACAAGAGTCAGTCATGTGTACAAGAAATCAGAACCAGTCAACCTGTACAATAAAAGTAAATGGTCCCTTTTCTGAAAACTCATGTCCAGTGGGTGTATGAGTAAAATACTGGCTGTTGGGAAGCATGTATTTCTCAGGATAGGTCGGACTCTTCACAAAGTAGAGATCTTTTTCTTGGTTTTTCTCTTCCATCTTTGATGACAACAGTGCGACTGACATCTCCATTTATGAAGCTAACTTCATGACATGTGAGTTCTAGAGTATTTCTAATTGCTACAACTTCTTTTCCTCTAGAAATTTTAAAGAGTACCACCTCCTACCTCTAAAAATCACCTTTTTCCCAGAATGTTCTCCCCTTCCAAAGGAACAAGTGTGCGAAAAAGTACACTGAAGTGGAAATCAGGGGCCCACGTGTGTCATGAATGTGCCGTGTTACTTCAGGCAAGTAACCTCACCTCATTTACTTTCAGTGTCTTATAATAACATAACAAATGGACCAGATGGCACCTTAGGGTTATTTTGGCTCTTATTTCCAAGTCTGATGCTTTTAATTAATAGCGAATTCTAGGGAGAGATCATTTCCAGTTACAGCCATTGCTTATCTGGGCAAGTATAGAACATCTAACCAGAGAGGTGGCTAAATTTAGAGACCCCTAAATTTAAAGGAAGAGTAAAGGTCAAGAACATGACTGGAGTCGCCCACCCAAGTTCAATTCCAAGATCCACCTCTAACTACTTTGGGCAAATGCCTGACTCTACCTCCCTAGGCCTTAGTTTCCTTGACTGGGAAATGGGGATACTGAGATCATATGAAGACCTTAGCATAATAACTTCTCAATAAATAGATACTAGGTTATAATTATGTTTCCCTATATACAGTGCATATTTCAAATAAATAGTTATCTCCCATAGACAATCTAATTAACTTATGGTTATGGTATTAGATATATATATATATATATCTTTACATCTGAAGTTGTAATGATATGCATTAAGTTTTATTTTCCTATAGAATCTTAAACCTACCAGCACACTCAATGGGTACTTGATATATGGTAAAAATGATGTCATTTAAGAACTGACTGAGGCCTTAATGATCTATCTGGACCAACCCTTTGGAGCCTCAGAGAACACAGACATTTCCTCAAGATCACAAAGCAAGACATGCCAAGGTGGCAACTTAGGTGTCTTGATTCTTGGTCCAGTGCTCCACGCATATCTCTACACTACCTCCTACCTTATTAATTTATTTAAAATAGGGCCAAGAAAATCTCTCACTTATAGAATGACTCTAGAGCACACCTGACATTTGATAGGTTCTCAGAGACTATTCAGTGGGTGGGTAGATGGCTGGATGGAGGGAAACATGAATGAATGAATGAATGAGCAAACAGTTTTATTTCAAAGAAGCCCCGTATATTTAAAGTAGCTTCAGGGCCACGTGGGTGGCTCAGTTGGTTAAACATCTGCCTTTGGCTCAGGTCATGATCCAGGAGTCCCACGACTGAGCCCCGAGTCAGGCTCTCTGCTCCGTGCGGAGTCTGCTTCCCCCTCGTACCTCCCTTATGCTCTCTCTCTCTCACGCTCTCTCTCAAATAAATAAAATCTTCCAAAAAAAAAAAAAAAAGTCAAAGTAGCTTCAAAGTTGCAAATACACGGATTTGTGTCACTGTGTCCTGATTTTGCACATGGGGCACCAATCATTAATCCAGTCAGCAGCATCTTTGCCACTAAGCCCTGAGCTATTAAAAGCTGACATTATCACCTGGACTTAGTTCAGCATTTGCAGTGAAACCGATTCCATCCCTTCTCCATCACAGCAGTACCAAGGGGAGATGTGGGGGGGTGGCACCCCATAAACTCCATCAGTACTGGAGCTCAACATGAACATACAATCCAACTTAAACTTACATTCTCACTCTGCAAGGAGATCTCCAGCTCCTCTTCGCAACTAGCTGCCTCCTGAAGTTACCTGCCTGAAGCCCCCCTTACCCTGAAGTCTGGTGTCCGCCTTAGTTTCAGTGGCAACGTGCCTTCTGCTTCTGCCCGCAGCTCAGGTGCCATGTGTGTCAAATACCTGTATTCTCGTTATGTAGGCAAGTTACGCTTTTTTAAGTGTACAAATTGAAGCTCATAAAAGATCACTTCACCCCTGCATTATCTTTTGAAGTATCAAGGGAAAAAAAAATCCAAGAGTAGAAGATCCAGTGGGATATCTCTAAGTATCAACTTCAAATTTTCCTTGGTTCCAGAATAAGTCTTTGATGACCACGATACAATCTTAGGAATTAGACCATCAGAGCCAACGTAAAATGCTGCATGTGAATTTCAGTCCTCTACTCTGCATACCCTGAGACAAATACTATCAGGAGACTTCCCTGAACACCCTATCCTCTCGATCTTATAGAAAATTCTTACAGCGTTCAGAACCATTTGGATCCAACCACAGAATGGAGATGGAAGGAGAAATGATAAAGTCTTTATAAACAGTAAAGTATCAGACAAATGCAGCATGATCTGATTTTATATCAATGTTCTTCCCCAGTCTCAATCATTATATGAATCACATTCTGGAGATAATCTGTAGCAGAGAGAACAAAGAGTTGAGAACCCGAGGTTCTTCGTTTCCAATGCAGTCATTAACTAGCTGGGCAAGCCTTGGCCTGTCCCCTCACCTCACCAGATAATGGCTGCCCCTTTTTCTGCACTCTTCCTTTGTGCAGGCTCCATGCCAAGGACTTGATATATACCCTCTCACCCAATCCTTGCAAAAAAACAAAAACCAAAAAAGCCATGCTGACGTGAGACTATTATTATCCTCATCTCATAGAGAATGAGCTAAGGTTTAGTATGGTGCTCAGTGAGAAAGGGAGTTCCTGATTGATTAGCAATGCCTGCCCTGGGAATGGCATCGAAAAGGCGCTCAATGAGAAAGAGGCTCTGCATGATTAGTGATGCCTGCTGTGGGCACAGCAGGGAGGGCAGCACCAGAAACGCCCATGACCACACAGCTGGTGAGTGGCAGAACCAGGACTCAAATCCAGTCTGGACAGACCCTGAGGCCCTGGTGCCACCATCTATCTGCATCTCCTCCGTGTACCATTATTTGAAGCTCCTTGAGGATGATGGCTCCCACTTTCTTTTTGTAGGAGGTCCAGAGCACTGACTGCCGTCCTGGGGCACAGAGCAGGTACCCACAAACAGCAAGGCCTCTTATAAGAGGACAGTAAATTCCACACATGAAGCCTGGCTCTGTGCTTCCCAGAACGTCAGCTCTCTGAAGACAGAAATTTCCGCCCATTTTGTTCACCGCGGGCTCCCCAACGCCTGTAACGGTGACTGCCTGGCCCAGAGCAGGTGTCTGAAAATCACCCGTTTGGGGAACGCACGAACCAGCCAGGCGCCCTCTGAGCGACGGCAGGCATCCTCGTGCCCACCGCCTGGTGAGTTAGGTGCCTGTACCTCACTGGGTACCCGAAGGTCTCTCTTCCAGATGGGGAAACCACAGCTCGGAGAATTTAACTTCCTTTCCAAGATCTCACAGGCAGTAAGCGCAGAGCCAGGACCTAACCCCCGTCTAGAGGCCTCTAAACCACACGCCCCCCACCCAGCAAAAGCCCCCCGGAAGTAACCCGCGGACCAGACCGTCTCCCGAGCCCGCTCACCTGCAGATGGGAATGGCAGGCACCAGCTGCTTGGGCCAGGTGGGCGGCACCAGCAAGATGGACTCGGGGGCCGAGCTCCTCCCCTCCTCCTGCTCGCAGGGCCCCAGGAACTCCACGGCCGGGTAGATGTGGCGGGGCAGGCCGGCCTTGGGCGGGGCGGCGGCGGACACCGGCGAGGGGTCGGGGCTCGTCTTCCACATCTTGGGGGGGGATGCCACAAGGCGAGTCCGCGGCGAGGCTGTTCAGGGCATCCATGAGGACGGCAGAGCCAGCCGTGGGGGGGTACCCAGCGGGGGCGCCGTCGTCCCGGGGCTGCGGCGAGGGGCTCCGGGAGCGCTGGGGTGAGGCTCCGGGCAGCGAGGCAACCAAGGCCCCGGCACACGAATGCCTCCGCTTGGCACCAGGCGACGAGGAGCGGGAGGCCGGACGGGGCACGGGCGAGTGGCGGCCCAGGCAGCTGTCCTCAGCGAGGCTGGTTCGAGGTGACATTATTGGCGAGGTTCTGGGGGAATAATGAGCAGGGATGTTTTGAAACTGCGGACACAGGTCGTCGGGCCCGCCGTTATTGGGCGAGACGCAGGGCGAGGTGTAGGGGGAGAAGGTGTCGGAAATGAAGCTCGCAGAGGAGCCGCTGCTAGCGGGGCTCAAGCAAAGCGGCTCGCGGTAGCCCTCGAAGCCGGGCACGGGCAGGGTGAACCGCGGGCTGGCGGCCACGCCGGCCAGGGGCGGCTGCTCCCCCAGCAGGCCAGTGTCTCTGCCGCGGAGGGGCCCCCCTGCCTGCATCAGTTCGTGAGATGGAGTGATCTCGATCCGAGGGCTCAGGCCCGAAGCCCCCGCTGGCTTGGCCGCCGGGCTCAGAAAGTTCTGCGGCCCTACCCTATCCGGCTCTCCGAATCCGCCGGGGGGTTCGCCAGGGAGACTGGGGAGGGGGCTGTATGGCTTGAGGCCATAGTCCAGGACTTCATCGGGGTATGCGAGTCTGGAGGGTGGGCTGGCGACCTTATGTGCATTCGGTTCTTCTGGAAAGAGAAGGGGGGAGGGGGTCTTTTTAAGCCTCTAAAACAGAACTCCCGTGCAGAGCAATCGCAGGCTGGGTTTCGTCTCCTGCTTTTTTGTTTGTTTTTGTTCTTTCTAATCCCCGCCACACCAAACCCCAAGCTGGAGCCTCCTCCCCTTGGCAGAGGAAAGGGAGGCCATTTCATCCCAGGTTCCTTGAAGAGAGAGACCGAAGCGGCAAGGTTTTGGCGCAGGTGCACAGAACACAGCTCGTCTGAGTCGTGCGGGGTGCCCCAGGCCCGTGGTCTCCGAACGTGTGGTTCCGTGGAACCCCTGGGAGAGATGCACTGTATTTCACAACTCAGGTTACACCATATGTACTGGAGACTGAAACGAAAGCTTCGGGAAACAATACTTACCCTGCTACATACAGTGCACTCTTATCTTTCCTCTTGGATGGGGTTATTTGGTTTAAATGCTGGTCGTAACTCATTCTACAGACTTCCTGGCCCACCAGTGGGTCACAAACCACAGTTTAGAAGCCACAGACCTAGGCTTATCTCATCATTCTGCATGTGTGACACAGCCATGGGATGGAGGGGGAGACCACACAGCTCTGGAGTTGGAGGGGCTCTGGGTTCAAATCCCAGCTCTTCACGCTCCAGTGTACCTAATGGCTTACTTTAGAATGAGGGCTTCTGCGTCATGTCTCATCTTGTGTCATTTTACAGATGGGGAAGCTGGGGCCCAGGGAGGGGAAGAGATTCACCCAAATTTGCAGGATGAGAAATCCCACAGACAAGCCCCTTGCCCTCAAAAGGCAGAGCCATGGCTCTAGAGTCTCCCAAGCTATTGAAAACAGTCGGTCCAGAAGGATCTCGTTTTTTTCTCTAGTAGCGGCCTTCTGCTGCCACTGCAAAAGGACCCACGCCTGCGAGCGGACCGAGTGAGGGAAGGCGCTGCTCCTCCTGGCCACCCTGACCCGCATCAAGCTCCCCCACTCAGCAGAGGCCCCTCCACCCTCCCTGCCAGGGCCTGGGTCAGCCAGACTCCTCTCTCTCACATACCTTCTGTCCAATCCGTAGCGAATCCTGATGGCTCTACTGTCAAAACATAAGCCACAGGCACACCCGTCTCCCTCTCCTCAAAGCGCCGGCCCTAAGCCACCAGCCATCCTCTCTCACCTGGACTCTAGGCACCTCCTCCCTGGGCTCCCCACTCTACCCTCGCCCCTCCAGTCTGTTCGCCACGCAGCAGCCTCTTGAAACGCCCCAAGGCATTTCAGAGCTTCCCCTGACGTGATCTGAAGTCCTTAACACATTTGTCCCTGAGCCCTGGCCCACCCGGCCACTTGTACCTCACCCTGACTTACCAACAGCCCCGCTAACCCCTTCGCTGTTCTTTAAGTCGCTCTCACCTTAAAGCTCTCGAGTGCTGTTCATTCTGCTGGAAACTCTACCCGCCGAGATCTTCTCATGGCTGCTTCCCTTAGTTTCTTCCTGTATCTATTCACTCTCCACTCTCTACTCTTTACCCCTGCCATCTTTCCTCTGCTAACCCGTTAACCAGCAAACACCATGTCAGGTATTATCTGTGAAGGGACTCTCATGCCCATAGATAGGGGCAGGCAAGCTGCAGCTCCTGGGCCAGATCCAGCCCACAGACTGTGTTTCTAAATAAAGTTTTATTGGAATGCACTCATGCACCTATTTGTTTACATATGGTCTGTGGCTTGGATTTGCACTACAACAGTAGAGTTGATCATGACGACAGATACTGTATGGCCCACAAAACCTAAAATATCAGTTATCTGGCCCTTTACGGAAGCTGGCGTCCAGCACACTAGACTATGTATGTTACACCAGACTTGGAACCATTATCTGCTGAGGTTCGGCATTGTTTGTCAGGCACCTAGCACAGGCTGTCCATAAACATTTGCTGAGTGACTGGGCAAAGAGCAGAAGAAGCATGCCCAAGGTCCATCAAGCCTGAAATGGGACCTCTTCCTAAAGCTGTGTGACCAGCCCTTGCCTTGGGGAGCCAAGGTGCCTACACAGATGATCCTTAACCTCCTGGTGCCCTTTTTGGACCATCCTGGACTAAATGCTGCCTGGTTTAGCTGTGCTGATCTCATGGGGTCCAGATGGTGTCCCCACCCCTGGTGGGAGCCCAGAAATGGCTTCCCACAGCTCTTAGGGTAAAGATAAACAACTCAACTAGGCCATGCTGGCCAAGCCCTACCTGCCACCTCTGGTCTCAACTAACTCTACTCTCTCACATCTCTCCCAGAACTCCAACCAAACTGGCTGTCTTTCTGTTCTAATAAAGCACCTACCTCCTTTCTGCCTCAGGACCTTTGCACTTGCTGTTCCCTCTGCCACAACAGCTATTCCCTCTGCCACAACAGGTCCTCGCCACCACCACCACCACACCCAGGCCCCTTCTCTACATAGCTAAAGCTACTCATTCCTTCCAGCTGAAGTGTCCTGTGCTGGGGAAGGCTTCCTGGTCTCCTTGGCTAGATCAGAGCCCAATCATGCTTCTCTGTTCTGCTCCATACATTTCCCAAAATTCCAATTAAGTAATTCTGAAGTTTGCTGTTTATTGCCTACCTCTCTCCTAACCTCCAGCTTCACCCCTACCAACAGCAAATTCTATAAGGACTCTTTTACCACCTAATGTATTCCTAGCACTGGGACAGGACCCTCCCCCCCCCATATGTGTTGGTTGGCTGAATGAATTTTTTTTTTTAATTTAATTTATTTATTTGAGAGAGAGACAGAGTGAGAGAGCATGAGAAGGGAGGTCAGAGGGAGAAGCAGACTCCCCATGGAACTGGGAGCCCGATGTGGGACTCGATCCCAGGACTCCAGGATCATGACCTGAGCTGAAGGCAGTTGCCCAACCAACTGAGCCACCCAGGTGCCCCCAGCTGAATGAATTTTTTAAAAGTGAGTTCACGAAAGTCTATGTGAAATATTTAAACTGCTACTCAAAGATGCTAATATCCAACTCAAAAGGAAGACAGGTATAACCTCCAGAGGGTAATTTGGTAATATCTATCAAAATTCCAACATACGTATCTTTAGAACCAAACAATCTTGCCTTAGAAATTTATCCTGCAGCTAAATCCTCTTATGTGCAAAATGAAGTATGCATAGATTAGTTAATAGTGGCCTGTTTGGGGGACACCTGGATGACTCAGTCAGTTAAGCGTCTGCCTCTGGCTCAGGACGTAATCTCAGGGACCTGGGATCAAGCCCCGCATCAGGCTCCCTGCTCAGAGGGGAGTCTGTTCTCCCTCTTCCTTCACCTCTCCTCCTGCTTGTGCTCGCTCTCTCACTCTCTCTCAAATAAATAAAATCTTTAAAAAAAAAAAAAATACTGCCCTGTTTGTACTCCAGAAAGACTGGAAGCATCCTAATGTCCGTCAGTTGGGGGTGGGTTGAATTCTTGTTTATTCACACAATGGGATACAGTACCGCTAGATAAAGGGTTGGAAAAGTTCTTTCTGCATTGATCTGGAATGACCACAAGATACAGTGTCAAAGGAGAAAAGCAAGGTACATACAGCACACACAGCATAAAAACAGAGGCTAAAAGAATGTGTGCACAGGTACACACACACAGACACACACAGCTGCTGCCTACATAGGCTGCCTCTAGAAGCTACAGGTAACAGTGACTTCCTCCGGGGAGGGGAACTAAGTAATGGGGCCCCAGAGGCATGGCAGAAAGGAGAATGATTTCTGTATGACCTCGAGAAAAGAAATACAATTCCCAAAAGAAGCGTGTTTTTATTTTAAAGGTGGCAGGGCGTGGAGGTGACATGACAGGATATACAGGATAAACAGAAGCAGGAAATGGAGATCGAGTCCTACCATGCCACTAACTAGCTTTGTGACCTTGGAAAAGTCCCTCACCAGCTGTATGTCTCAACCTTCCCATTCACAGGACAGCACTAGACTAGATCGGTTTCCTTGGTTACTTCCAGCTGTGAAATCTTTTGGTTTTTGTAGCTGCGGTGTGTAGGGTCTTGAGTTCTTACCAAGAGGCAGTGGATCACAACTTGTATCAATGTGTGTGCGCGCGCGCACACACACACACGCACGCACACCTTCCCGGCAGGTAACAGAGGGCAGATTTTTACTAGCGAGAGATCAACATCAAATCCATGTCTGACAACATTCTGATAATCCACTACCCTGTGAACCAGCCCAACAAACCACAAAAAGTCTCTTAGCAAAAATTCCGGCCTTATCAGATGAACTGCATCACGTCTCATCAGGAACACCCCCTCAGGCCTGACGTGAGCAGTCGCTGAAACTCGGCCATGAAAACACACAGCACTCACACTCGCTGGCAGCCACACAAAACAGAAAGGACCGTTTGCTCAGCAAAAGCATCCAGAGCATTTACACTGGTTTTAATTAATCCAAGCAGCAGAGGTTTTTCCGTTCCCATTTTCCTCCCGAGATTTTGCAAGTTTCACACCAAGCAGGGAATGTGAAGGTAATTTATCATCGTTCCGTTCTCGGCCCTCTGGGTGCTTGACGGTCAATATCCCAGGCTCATCGTGAACACACTTGTGTGAGCAGCTAGGATTCTCAGCTCGCCCTCCTTGCACAGTAATTCTGCCCCCCACCCCCCACAGCCAGCCCCTCAGGGTCACGGCCATGCCCCACAGCCAAGGGGCAACGTTTCATCCTAGAACCACCGGATTTTCAGGAGGGTTCCCAAAAATCTCACTCTTTTTACCACTTGCGTGATCTTTGTGACATCCCTATACCACCGGTAAATATTATTTACTTAATATTTCTATATTTAAATTCACTCACATAGTACTTTAATTTTTTTTTTTAAAGGAAACTTTATACCACTACCACAAATGGAAAATCTGTGTCACCTCCATAAATAGAAGGTAGGGTTAAAAACACAATAAAAATAAAAGTTACTAAATTCAAGGTTCAAGACACTGTGGCTGGCCAAAGGCTCTACCGGGAGGCCCACCCATTTTCTGGCC